AAAATATAATAAGTAAACTTAAACTTTTGAAAGTAACTATATGTATTTTTAATAATATATAATAAAAAACAAGTTATATTAATTTAATAGTAGATTAAAATAATAATAATATTATTTATTGAATATTCTACTATTATATTAAAATAATAATAGATTATTATTACTTTACTTTAAATAATTAAAATATTTAAAATAATTAATAAAATCCTATATTAAAAAACATTTGTGTTTTAAATATATTCTAATAAAAAAAACTATTTAATAATAATAAATTACTAATTAAAATATTTTTAATTGAAAAGTATTCACTCGAATTATTGATAGAACAAAAAATTATTTTCAATATTATATCTAGAGTTAGTTATCATTGATAGATTTATTAAATAAAATAGAAACTTTAGTAACATATAAAATACTCATATAGTTATTAAATGCTTAATAAATAGTTAACGGCAGACAAAAAATAAAAGAAAATAAATAAATAATTTTTTTAAAAAGCTATAATTAAATTTATCTACAAAATAAATCATATAATTATTAACTGTAAAGAAATTTTTTATATACTGTTATTGATTTTCTCGAATCAATTATCAAATCGGCCAATGAGAATGCAGCACGATTTTCAATTTAATCAGGAAAAACTGGCCATTTTCTCCATTTCTAACATTTCTATCAAAACTCGCCGTCAATGATTTTATCTCGGTTCAAAGAAACGTTACTTCAAATCTACATAAATCCGATCTTCATATTAAAAAAAAATACTTGAATCTCCAAGTTCCCCGATGATTCGTAAATCACGAAAACTTAAAATATACATAAGTTTTCATAAAAAAGTAAAGTTCAAAATATTATTTTAAGCATTAAAACTTTGTTAAATTCAAATTTAATCAAAGTTTGACAAATGTTGTCTAGTAATAACATTTGTCAAACAAATATATGCTTGTTGAAACTTTATTTCGCAAGCATATATTTTTTTAAGAGCTTATTCATGCTTCATATGCTTAAAACTTTGAATCAACTCTTGCTATCAAACAAATAGTGTGTAGGTGACTACACTAATAGTTAGTAAAAGCTTATATTTATTCGTTGTTATTTATTGAATTTCTACATTTATCATATTTATTTGTCTTCATAACGTCGTAATATTAAAGATTTATATTTGTGCAATTATGTATATAACATTTAATAAGAAAAATTACATATTTTATGGTACCGAAAATACATTATTTAACCGTTTTTTGCTTTATAAAAAAAACAAATAAAACATTTTATATTAAATATATAGAATAAGACAACTTTATTTTTTTTAAAAAAAAACCCCCCAGTCTAGCATATAAGATTTAAAATAGAAAACCAAATAAGAAAAATTACCACTTTAAATAAACTGCGAATAGCCTACTGCGCCCCTATAGCAGCTGTTTAATGAGACAATATTTATTATACATGTGTATACGGACTCTCCTGTCACAATAAGCTATATTTTGCTGAACGTTCGATCATTAATCATACAAAGGTTTAAGAAACTGTATCATTGATTTAAAGCATCGTTTATCATCTAATTATCCACCGAATCAATACTCTTAAAATAAAAATAATGATAATATGTTTCTTTATCTCAAATCTCTTTGCGCTTTACAATTCAATAATGAATATATTTAGATTCTTTCCAAAAATACTTTCTTTACCCAAAACCTGTAATCCTTTCGATGGATATCACAATATAGTTGGCAAATCATGTAAAAAACGAGAGCGTCTTTATCCTTCCATCGAAGGTTCTCTTGAACCGGAAACCTTCTCCTCTTATGAACCATTATCAAGTAGTGAATTCTCCTTATCATCTGCCTCTACATCTAATTTATCTTGGTACACATATCCACCAATTTCTAAACCGAAATATTCATTCAAAAGAAGTATCCACATCCATTCTTCATGTGATCCATATTGCTACCAAATAATCCTTGAATTATTTACCTCTCCGCAATTGACATTTCTCTCCGACGCAAATCCAGAATATCCCAAGATCAAAAGTGATTTCATGAATCGCATGAAACATGTCAAAGTTGTTTCGATAATCCGAATTCGATTATCAAAAGAACGTACGATAAGATATTTAAATTTAAGAAGAGAAATGACAAAAGGTTGTGTAAGTGAAGGAAGAAATGAGCGAGCGAAGTATGATAGCGAAAGGTTTGGAAGTATAACGAAGAGAGTCTATCATGGAACAAGGGCTACTTGTGATCCTAAAAAGACTCTGGAGCACAGAATTTGCTGTGATGATAAGTATTGCGGGATGTGTGGAATTATCAAGTATGGAATCAAATCCAAATTCTCAAAACTCGGAAGGAGTATGAATGTTTCGAATAACTTGCACAAAATATGAATCGTATTTGTCTTATTTGTAATGTATTAAGGTCCTTCTTATTTTATTACATTCACAGAGATGTGGTTTTCAAAAAAACCTTCAATCGCTTCTGGATTTGCTTTTAACAAAATCAACCCACGCGCATATCTTCTTACGATGTTTATTGTCGATATCCTAGATATTAATGATGATGATTCCGAGGTTATGGTTATAAACCACGAAGATGTGAGTTTTTGAATTAGGATATATGCTGAAATTTTGTTAAAGACATTTCTGTCTTATTAATTTTTCTTCTCGCATTCGTAGGCTACATTACCAAGATACTTAATACTATACGAACATTAAATAAGCTGTCACAATCAAAATTTCCTAACATTAAGAAAATCACATACATTATCTCTTTATAAATGGAAGTTTACAAATTCACAGTCAATTATTCGATAAAATAATAACAAAGAATTGTGATAAATAATGGCAAAATAGTTAGCAAACGAACCTTTAAAAAGCCTTAATGAAGATAAAATTAAAAGGTCTGTCTAGTTGGATTATACTGTATTTCAGATTCTAAATTGATCTGTTCAATAAAAAATTTTGCAATAATTAGAGTCCCTTAGAAACATATAATAAAATTATTCATTATTATTTGTTGGATATAAACAATACATCTGTATTTTTTTTTTTTTTTGACTGGCTCAGCCTTGTTTATTTTAAATGAAATAATAGGGTTTTATGAAATATCAATTTATTATGAAAAAAAAATTAAAAAAATATTAGATTTTTTAAAGAATACTAAAATTTTCTATCTTTTTTTAAGTAATATATTTATATAATTTTATATTTTTTTTCTATTTATCTTTTTTTTAACCCTTTGTCAAATTAATTATATATATTTTATTAAACATATAATAAACTATACTAATTACAATATTTTACTCTTTCCGCTGATCCTCTACCCATACACAAAAAAGATGTTCGCAAGAAAATTTTTATTTTCTTTGTTAATAAAGTCTTAATACTATCCTTAAACCAACTTAAAGTTCTACTTTAAAAGATACTCCCAAACCTTTCCTCTTGTTTATATTTGTTTTCAAACAAAAACTTGGCTTCCTGTGACTTAGAAAAGTCAAGAAACACCTTCTCTACCTATGGCAAGAAAGTTCTGAAAGGAAGAAGAACTAATAGTGTAGTACTT